TTGTAGTCCGTTTGTTCATTGGTTCCCCTTGATTAGTCTCCACAGGTGTGCCTTATCTTGTTAAGCTTGTTAGCCCCCTGTGCGTTTATATAGCCCTAGTGTTTCTTTATGGTTGTAATGGTTGTCTGTTTGCCAGTCATTCTGTTCTTTGTTCCCTTTGGTTTTCCCATTTAATACCTGCACATAGATCCTTGCCTCTGCCGGTTTTCCACAGCTTCTCCACAACGTTACAGTTTATCACTGGCGTGTCTCTTTGACTTGTGCATCTTTGAGCCTATATTTAGTATAAGTACAATCCTTAAGTACTGTTAAAATCAGATACTCTTTTTTACTCAAGTTGTTTTGGAATTGGTGACTTGTAACGTGTAGTGGAGTAATTTTCACTGTAAGGTATCTGTACTTTTACTCAAGTATGGTTTTTAGGCACTCTTTACACCTCTGAGGTTAGCAGAACATGTCCATAGTTAATGTGAAGAACCACACCTGTGAAAAACTGAATCAAAGTAAAACATGATCAACAAGTGCTTAATGCAAATGACTGGAAACAGAGTAGAGAATAGGGTTATTTATTTAGACACAACAGCAGCAGACTTGTCCCACTTTACTGTAGTCACTGATGTCCAAATATGATTAGGATTACATGAACGACACAATATTTCACTACATGACTTCAAATGAGAGCTGCTTATTAGCATAACTGTGTCAACATGTTTGGCTTCGTTTTAAAATTAATGACATTAATATCAACAAAAAAGTCACATTAAATAAAATCGACATCATTAGAAAATATACAACTTAAACTACCCAAAAACAAAGTGCTATAGCAACAAAACAGGAGGCGGATGTTAAAAAACACAAAAAGTGCAAGATCATAGTATCAGACGATTTCACCTGTTTAACAAACCTATGCGCCAATGCCCAGAACATTTCATTTAATGTTTTTAGCACTACGTATAGACGTAAGTTAATAGGACACAGATTCCCTTCATAAATCTACATTTAAAAATTCAATACTTTGAATCATGCCATCAATTCAGAGGCATTCACAAGGGCTGCAAACTGTTTCAAGCAAAAACATTAACCACTTTAAATGATGGACTTACTTGACAGCAAGGCAGTTTACATTAACATTACTTTTGAAATTTGCACGAGCAGCTGAATTTTGATACAGTATTTGCAGCAGGTCATAATAATGTCTGTATTTCAGCCGAGCATTTGCCTGCGTGTACATCTTTCACTCAAACACATTGCATTCATTCAGTTTGCAATGATACATCAGAAATGACTCTAATAAATGACTAATCTATTTCCAGAGGCTAGATTCAAACAGGCAAGTACAGATATGGGGAGAGCGGACACCCAGAGAGGAAGGCCACAGTATAGATCATATGACACCACTGAGTCTGTGTTTATCCAAGCATGTGTGGTGTGGAGGGACGGTTCAGTGTTTGATAAATGCTATTGAATGGGAAGCACATACATACGCAAGCACACGACAGCAAAGCATTGCATCCCAATATGGCTCAGGGCCATCAGACACTGGCAGTCAATCAGATATTATGTACATAAAAAGGGTTTGCACAGATCTCAGCCATTCATTGATACAGAACTCAATATCCAGGAACACAAAATAAATACACACTCGTAACAAACAGACAGACTTAAAACGGAAGCACAGTGCCACACACACATACTGTATATAAATGTGTTGTTTCCCTCTAGTGGCCAGAGCTGGCTCTACGTGGCCTCTGTCCAGAGTGTGACCGTGCGGTCAGCCGAGGAGGACAGGAAGGAGAGGTGGTGTGTGTGCCACCTGCACTGGATCACTTTATCAGCATGCTCTCCAGCTACGGTCAACGGCAGCTGCTTCGTCAGGTCACCTGTGCACAAATACAATCATCCAAAACTGAATTGCTTTAAAACATGCATTGCTTTAAATGCTTAAAAATGTTAAAATACATATTTACACTGCAACATCTGCACACACGCACTCAAAAATAAGTGTAGCGGACACTTCCACAACCTATAAAACAGGTTCCTACACACTTTGACCAATGAATTTCCATTACTTTTCCAGTCATTTGAGATTACAGGATATCATACAGTTTTTAAAAATCATTTAACAGATTAAATATACAAAGAGCAATTTATAGGTTTTATATTTTTCATTTCTCTTGACTGTAGAAACTCTACAGTCAAGTAGAGTCTCAGAAAAAAAAATATATATATTTTTGTGTTGCCCTTTGGAAAAAATTTGTCACATCAGGTAAATACTAATTACTTTTTCTTTCCCATTTCTTTTCCTTTTTGTCTTCCATTACGCACTAAGAACCTAAGAGTAAATACATTTAGAGTGACAGGGGAAAAAAAATAATTGAGAGGAAGATCACATGCAACAGTGATCATGAGTAAGATTCACATCTATAATGCTATGAGCACACAGATACGCAGCCTGCTGATCCTTTAGAGGTGTCCTGTCCAAAACGTACTTTTTACACAATTACAATGTATTATAGGAAAAATTACAGGGGAAAAAAAAAACTTTCATTACTTGAAATAAATTTGAACTAAAATAAAATAAAATGTTTAAAAAAATGTTTTAAAATGAAAACAGAACATGTAAAAATAAAAACGGATTCAAAATACTAATAAAACCTATAATATTATATCAATGATACTAAAATAACACTGGTCTGAAAGTGACTTAAATCTTGTAATATCATGCCAAAATTGCAGATTAAAGCACATTCGTATGTGAAATGGTGGCCACATAATGTTCCCAGTGAATCAGGTCAGATATACAGGTTCCTTGCTGGAAAAACCAGGTCATACCAGCTCAAGGTGGTGAAGCTGGTTTTTGAAGCGCGATAGCTGTTACCATTTCTGATCAGCTTGACCTAAATGCTCTACCATGACCATTTCAGCCTTACTAGCATCTGGTCAACCGTCTAGACCAGTCTGAACCAGCCAATAAGCATAAATGACCAGTGTAGACCAGCTAAAAACAATACAAACCCAGCAACCATCAGAAACTGGCATTTTTTTAGCAGGCAAAGTAAAAATGAAAGAGTAAAATGAAGGAAGTGAATCCCACCTGTGCCGTGGAGGGCAGTCCCCACCACTCTCACACAGCTGGGAACACGCAGGTCCCAGAAACGCACCGTCTTATCCTGAGAGCCAGATGCTATCATCCAGCCCCCCCATGTGTACAGAGACAGGATATGATCTGAGGAGAGAGAACACACACAAACCAACATATTTTTGAGGATCTGTGTGTTTATATAATATAAAATCTTTTTTTTTTTGTGTACCCGTGTGTCCGTTCAGCGCATGCAGGCCCTGTCCTCTCTGGCAGTCCGTTGTGTAGATGTTACAGTCTCCAGCTCCTGCACTGATTAAAATGGCCCCTCCGCTCTCAGGACCCTCCATAAACGCCAGATCTCTGATAGTCCCATCATGCATACTGAACTCCAGATCAGGACCTGAAGCAAAGAGAGTCATTAAGGACGTGTGTGGATTTAAATACATAAATTAAAAGTGAACATGTAACTAATGGATATCACCATACATCCCCAGTTGATTGATTACATTAAGAATTGTAAAAAAAAAAAACTTTTTGTATTACAAGTTTTCTGAAATGTTTGTTTAAATGAGTTCAATGTTCAAATGAGACGTTCTTTAATTATATATGCACTAATTTGCATACATTTCCAGAACAGAAATCAGTTCAAAATTCAAAAAAATTGGTTGACATATTAAAGATTTTTACAGAGGGGATTTTGAATATTTCTTTTTATCATTCCATAAATCTGAAAATACCAAAAATCTGAAAATTCCAAAAAATTTCACCATATTTTTAAAAATAAAGTGTTGTTATATATATGATATGATAAAAAAATATATATATATGAGATGAATGATATATGGACAAACATGGTTTATGTAATTGCTACTAAAGTTGAGATTTCTGACTCAGTGCAGGAAATCATTTAGTGAAAAGAAATGTAATTGAAATCTACAGAAGTAAATAAAAGTTTATTTTGGATGGTTTTTTTCCCACTAGACTGAAAAAACATGTTATGAAAAGCCAAACAGCCAAAAATGGCCAGTGCATGAAAAAAACTGTTTTGTCTGTAGTGTGTTGCTTTAAGACTCATGAATATTGGTTTGCAATCTTTCTTTCTCTCACCTGTAGCATTGCAGGTTTCAGGGTTGAAGGGCAGCACTTTGACGTATTTGTCGTTGGAGCCGGTGGCCAGTAACTGTCCGCAGGGGCTCCAGGCCACACAATATATGGAGCCTTTGTGATGCTTGTTCCTCTTGAAGCGGATTACAGGAGGTTTACTCGTGCCCAAACCACTGAGAGAAACAACAATACAACTACAGTATACCAACATTCAACAGTCAACTGAAAATTCTGATTCTCTACAAATTAAGTGTAGTTCACCCAAAAATGAAAATTCTGTCATTATATACTCGCCCTCATGTTGTTTCAAAACTTTATGACTGACTTAAAAAAAATTATAATAATACAAGATATTTTGAAGAATGTTGGTAACCAAATAGTTTTGGTTCCAAACGTTCTTCAAAATATCTTCTTTTGTGTTCCACAGAAGAAAGAAATTCACACAGGTTTGGAATTAGCTAGTCAAATTTGAATGAAACATTACAAAGACAAATATTTTTGTCTGGAATAACAAGCACTGATGAATTGTTGACAGTAAGAACAGGAATATGTATTAATGTTTTCTAAAAGGAGAAGTTTCAAACACTTCATAGTGTTTTTCATTTTCTAGTGTTTATAATCACAGTTTTATTGCTGAAATTAGGATTTTAGGTCCTTGCTTGTGTCCCATCATCTATAACGTGTTTGATCATTAAAGTGGGTTTTAATGCAGTGTGTGGGCCACTGACCTCGTGTCCAGCGTGTCAGGATAGGCACACACGCGCAGCATCTTAGAATTGGAGCCGACAGCATATAACGTCCCTGTGGGGTGGAAGGCCACGGCCCGGACCGCCTGCGTATCCTCCAGGGTGTTGACCATCACAAACTTGGCTTTAGACTTATCTTTCTAAAACACGCACATAAAAACACATTCTGTATGTGAGAAGGGTCAATTTGAAGATTAGGCCATATATTAATCTAGAATAATCGAGAAAAATCCCTAATCTGGGTTTGATCTGAGAAGTTTTAAGAGATGTAATTAAACCAACACTAAGGCCTTTAGAGAGAGAGACAGAATAAGAATGTTTTATTCAGTGAATGTTAACCCTGTATAGCCTGACATGTTTTTTGTTGAGAATCATATTTGATACATCAGGCTTTTATGGCTTATTTGGTATGATACAGGAGTTTGGTATAAAACATACCTGAGGAGCACTGGAAAAAAAATTTTTTCAGAGGCCCAAACTAAGCAAAAATATGCAATTTAGTGCAGTTTCTGATATTTATATAGCCAAAAAGATGAAATTCTGGCAGCTTGAAAATCAATGAGATCTTTATAAGAATATAATGCAATGCAATACAGTGATGATTAAAAGATGTACAAATAAACATTCCTCAAAGCCAAATCATATTTGATACTCACATTTTACCAACGTTTTCTAAAAATGACAGCATAAAATGTATACTTATGCTTGATATTTCAGTTTTTCTTTTTTAATAAATCTGCAAAAATGTCAACAATTCTGTGTTTTTCTGTCAATATGGGGTGCGGTGTGTACATTAATGAGGGAAAAAAAATAACTTAAATGATTTTAGCAAATGGCTGCAATATAACAAAGAGTGAAAAATTTAAGGGGGTCTGAATACTTTCCGTACCCACTGTATGTAGCATAACCTGAAGGGAGTGTTTTAGAATGATACTTAAAGGCCTTTCTCTTACTAAAAAAGTATATACTTTCCAACAGATGACAAAAGGCATGTAGTAGATTGTGTGCAACAGGTTTTTTCAGCAACATTTATCATGTTGATAATTTAGAGGCTTTAGAAATGTGCATATCAATTATGATACAGTATAGGCTTTATTGGATTTATTATGTTGAGCTGTAGGGGCACTGTACCTCTGGGGCTTTAGAGCAGGTCAAACTGCTGTCATTTTGTCCAGTTTTGTCTAGCTGGGCACTGCAGGAGATAACAAGCTCTTTTTAAAACCCACTTAAGAACCCAAACAGTAATAAAAAAAACATTCCAAGCAAATTTCATTAAAAAAAAAACATTTATTAAAACTTGATATAAGACAAAAATCTCATATTTCCCACCAAGCAATCTTACTTTGTGGATACATTGATATAGACATTTTCAAACTCTTTTAATTAAGAAAAAATGATTTGAGTGTGAGACTCACCTCTGGGACAGTACAGGAGACTGGCTGGGCGGAAGGCAGGCTGCTTGACCTACTGACCTCTGAGGAGTGCTGGTGACCACATCGCTGGCTCCTCCACACTCTTCCTGTGTCTGTGGTGTGGCGGAGGCGTCTCTCGCTACACTGTTGTCATTACTGCCTCCATTACACTGTTGAGAGAGAGCCTGCACCTCTTCTCCCAAATCATCCATTCCCACATTCAGCTCCTCCAGTCTCTGAATAGACCTGCACACATACAGTACACACAAAAACATGAAGCTTTAGAGTCATCTCGGAGCTAGTCTCAGGTGGCATGGCCATGGGCAGCCCACTGATCCTTCATTGACCATGTGATGCATACCACACACAGCACAAAGAAGGAGCTTTCTCAAAAACATAAAATACAAATTAAATTGAAATATAATTTTGAATTTAAATTCAAATAAATTCAGTTTGGCTTTATGGAGTTTCTGCAAGTCAGTAACTGGAAAAAAATTAATTTTCTGCTGAATTTTAAAATGTCCAAAATGAACTTTTTGGCAAAGCTAGTAGGGATATAACGATTAACCGCGAGCCGGTTGAAAATCGATTCAAATGGGTTGAGATGCTAAACAAATCACGATTCAATTAGGGGTAGGAGTTTATATGAATGTATGTCTGAGGGGAACTTACTGTATTTTTTTTTTTCATCTTGCCTCTGTATAATCACTATAATGCATAATAAAGTTCATAAGTGCAGCGCTGCTTTGTTTTCAGCGGAAACCAAGGAAACGCTTTAAGCGCCGCCTGCTGGCAGAGAGTGATTCAGCTTGTCTGCCGTTTCCATTTCATGTTTTATGTATATTTCACAAAACTGAAGTCAAACAATTCTGTTTTTGCTTCAAATTTCAGAATTATACAATCTAATTTAGATTAAAAACTGCTCATGTTGCATGTATGCAGCATCTTTGTTTGGATCATGATTAAAATGCAGTGGTTGCCTCTAATAAAAAAAATAAAAATAAAAAAAAAAGAGCACAGACAAAGCTTGTAACAAAAACTTATTTTGTTTATATGAAGAGATTTATTTGTGTTACTTATTTATTTGATTTGGGGCTTGTTTTAAAATTTCAATTTAGTTTTGTTATTTACATTTTACATTATATTTAAATTTTGTTATTTAGCAGACGGTTTTATGCAAAGCGACTTACAAATGATGACAATAGAAGCAATCAAAACCAACAAAAGAGCAACAATATGCAAGTGCTATATTTGTATATTATTGTAGTGTTATATTTCAATTTCACAACGAAATGTGCAGCATTTTGTCCAAGCAATAATAAAAGGACACATTTACTTTATAATTTGTCTTAAATCTCATTTTGTAAAAAAAAAAGTTGAGTTGAGTGAATCATTTACATCCCTAAAACCTAGTAAGGGAACTTAGAAACTTTGCCAGCCATTCCTGTCAGAGTGAACATGAAAAACATGAATACAAATTGAAATTAGTATTAGTTGAAATCTCTGTTTAAATGGGAATAACTTTGAGCTAGCTTATAAGATTTATTTTTATTCTGATAATAAATAGAATCCTTTTTCATGTGTGTCCACTCACGCACTGTGATAGGATATTTTGTAAGATAGAAAACAAAAAGAGCACTGGATTAGGTGTATAATTTAGCAACAATCCAATGTAGAAAACAGACCTTCCAGAAGTCTTCTATTGTTTGTCAATGACTAAGCAGCTCTTTATTGCGTGTGTAGCTTGTGACTGACTTTGCACTGCATATAAAGACGATTAATATCTATAATCAAGACAATATTTTTTAAAAAGAGTATCAAGATATGGGATTTTTTGATGGGGGGGGCCTGTGCCCCAGGACTGATGAAATCATTTTTTCATACACACACACACAGAAAAAAATGTTTCATTCATCCAATTAAAAAAAGGTAGGGTAATGATTCACAACTATATATTTTAACTTGAGCCAATGAAAAATAAATAACTTGCCCTTAGGGCATTTTTTTCAGTGCACATCAAAGTACATACAGCTTATAAAAATTATTTATTTCTTCACCCACTTCAAGTTGCTTAGCCGCTTGCGGCACCATCTGTAGAAGCCTGAGGTTAATCTCATTAGCCTTTCATTTGATATTCATCTTAATCTCTGCCAAACACCACCCACCATTACCACAACTGGTCATTTCCCAGTGGTCAAGGGGGCTTCCCCCTGAAAATCCCCTGAAGCAGGTGGCATAAGGCCAGAACACACAGGCACACACATTTTTAATAGTTTTTAATCTATTTTGGATTTCATTTCTTTGGCATAATAGTAAACTCCTAAACTTGTCCTAATATATATTCAAAAATATCCTACATTTCTGTAGTAACTCACTACCAGTAAGGCTTCTGTTGACAAAACAATGAATGTTTCTTCTGCCCTCCCTTCCCCTCTGACACGCTGCATTATTTATGGCTGTGTGGCCTTTAATGATGACATCACCAGTGGAACGGCACGGCACGGTTCCAAAACCTCCCTTTGTTATGATTCAGTTGTACAAGTGCGTCGTAACCACAGCAACAGAAGAACTAGAGAAGTATCAAAGCCGAACAAGTGAAGAGGGTCCTAAAATGAGGTCAGTGATTCTCAGATTTCAGTGTTTGCACCATTAAATAAAATTACTTTCTTGTAAGGGGTAGGAAAAAAAAAATATTTGAGTGACAGCTCACACAAAATAAATAAATATACAAAAAAAAAATCCTTCCACAAATTTGCAGATGTTATGATTCAGTTGTACAAGTGCGTCGTAACCACAGCAACAGAAGAACTAGAGAAGTATCAAAGCCGAAGTGAAGAGGGTCCTAAAATGAGGTCAGTGATTCTCAGATTTCAGTGTATGCACCATTAAATAAAATTACTTTCTTGTAAGGGGTAGGAAAAAAAAAATATTTGAGTGACAGCTCACACAAAATAAATAAATATACAAAAAAAAAATCCTTCCACAAATTTGCAGACTCTCAGAGAGGATTACTGACACATTTGGAGTCTGTTTTGTAAAGAGGGGGTGATTTATTAAAATCTATTTTTAAAAAATAATCTAAAATCATTATGTCTAGGCTTTAACCTCTCCTTAATCTTGATGAATCTCTCATCTCTTTCCATTATTTGACACATAGAAGGAAACACACAAGTCCCTGGGTCATCGAGGGTCATCGAGTGGGATGACCTGGTAACAAAAGAGGCGTACAGTCCACTAATAACTAATAAAAATTATAAGGACAGTAGGGTTCAAAAATCCACACTTAAAATATAGGATTCAAAATATAACTTAAATCTGGATCTAGAAAGTTGTAGGATTTCGTAAAGCTTTAACATCCGATCGAGTGCTGTCATTAAAGCAAAAGCAGGCAAACCAAATAAAACATTTTAAATATATTTTTCATTCAAATTGTTGTTTATAATATAGTTTGCTGTAAAAACTAAATTAAGCATTAATTTATGAAAAATCCTAAATAATAAACTACTCCACAGACTATCCATACACTACTCCACTGTATATTGTATATATGTGATGATAAACAGTAAAGGTATTATTTTTAAAAAGTCGGGACATGGTATAATCTACTTGTCAGTCTTGGGAACCATGAATACAAGCTACTGCCCTGACTGGTAATAAATAAAACACCATGTAAATGAGAGTTAAAAGTAGGCAAATGTAAAACCATGTGTGTATACATGTATATGTGTTTGTTTTCCTTTGGGAATTCTCCACCCACTTTGAGTTCCCTGGCTGCTCGATGCACCATCTGTAAAACCCTGAGGTCATTCTCAATCTCATCTACATCTCATTAGCCTTTCATTGATATTCAACCTGCCAAGCCTTTTTCTCTGCATCCTTTCCTTTTGCTTTTAGCAGCATCAGATTTTACCTTGTGTTTTTGTGTTTGTAGACTTCAGCTGGTGTGATGTACGGCAGTGCAGCTCTAGAACAACTGACTTTTGGATGTAATGTTAGTGGTGACGTGGAGCTTGGCTGACCTAGTAAGGAAGGTTTCTGTGAGGTTTTGCTTGGCGGTGGGCGGGGCCTCGTGTTGCTGGACTCCGCCCTCTCGCAGCATCTGCTGGTAGAGTTCCCGCTGCTGCTGCTTCTGCTCCAGATGTTGTTGCACACGCAAACGCTGGCGGTAATATTCCTGAAACTGCTCTGTGGATTCCCACAACTATACAGAAACAGAGGAGACAAAGATGTGCTGAGAAGTAAACGAGAAAGAGGTATGACATTGGTGAAGCCGAGAGTTAGCAGGTAAGCAGCTAAATGCTGTGCCACCAAAGAGTTCTCAAGCGCCCACAGCTGGCCGTTTTCAGAATAATGTCTGGCATTTTCAGCTGGCTAAAAATCCTTTGGTAGACACACTGCCTTACTCTCATTTCACCCTAAAAGCTTATGAGTAGACAGACACTGAAGAGGAGTCACTTTCTGGTCTGATGAACAGATTTAATACACCACAGCTCTACAGTGATTACTACCACAGATTAAAAACCTAGACAGGAAACTGTGTAATGTTGTCACAGAACTCAGAGCCTCTGCAATCAACCTTCTGTAATCCAAGATATCAACACATCCAGACTACTGACCTCCGGCAACCAACCACATATTTCTTTAAAAATATCCAAAGCATTTGGATAAAATATCAAAGTAGATGTAAAATATAAATTTTCCTATTAGATCCAAATACAGTGTTAAAGTGTTGATATACAAATAGCTGATGTTTTATTTGTTATAATAGCTTACCAAATAATTTTAGTAAGCCTTAAACATATTTAGGCATATAATGTCAAACAAATTAGATTCCCAGAGTCATGGAGAGCATATCACAGCTGGAATGACCCCACCAGTTTTCTGTAATCTACAGGATACGGACTAAAGGACCCTAAGTGTCAGCATCAGCATCAACGCCTCTCGTTTACTTTGAATGGAGTGACGTCAAGCGTTGCCGAAATTAATTGTGGGTCTGTCGCGTCGTGTTGGGTCCGTTGCTCACGGCAGAAGTTGAAAACTTTTCAACTTTTCAAGCACCAACGCATGCGTCAGCCAATCAGATCACCTTATGCAAATACCCTGGTGCAGACGCTAGCCAATCGCGTTCATACAACACCAGAAAACTAATGTGATTGGCTGTTGTCACTATGACAGTCACGTCAGCACCACGCTTCAGAAACGCCCTCCATCAATCGTCGACGTCAACGCCCCGTGTGAATATACCGTTACAGTACAACATTCTAGAACCCTTCAAACAAGAGGAATCTGTAAAGGTCAACATACTAGAACTCTTCACACAAAAAGAATGTGAATTTATCTATCAACATTCTAGAATATTTCTAGTGACATTCCACCACAAACACATGCCTAGCGACAGCCAATCTAAGCCAACTATGCAGTGATAAAGTGGAAGCAGTAGCTGAGCTTGCCAGTTATTTATGACCCTGCTCAGGGTTACAGGCTGTTTCTGAGGGAGGAGAGAACACATGAAATCTTCTACTGGTCAGACATATAATTACAAAGCATGTTGTTCAACAGCTGGCACAAATAAATCAGAATGTCACTAAAAATGCTAAATTGAAATATTATTAGAACTTAATTGTTCCCCTTCTAGGGAACCCGCGCTGCGGACTCTATGGGGACTGCTGCAAGCAGGACCGGTGTCTGAAGCTCACTTGCCTTGGTTTTCTCCATAACATCTTCACATGCACTGTTAAACAAATGGCTCCTGAAGACAATAAAAGTTGGTGATGTGTTTGGCAGGTGCCCTCTTATTAGGGTTGTGACGGTGAGGAAATTTCCCCACCGGTTAATCGACGTGTGACAACACCGGTAATACCGGTATCACCGCGGGGGCATTCCCTCTTTTCCTCGTTTTCCTTTGCTTTTAAATAGCTTGTAAAAGCGGCGTGCGCATTTTACTTTCACTTTCAAATAGTGGCAATTCGGAGTAAAGCAATTGTTCGTTTTTAGTTCGTTTGAATTTTCCCTCTTTTTGCAAAAGTCAACAGGCTTTTCAAAATCCAAAATATTGCCTAACAGGCGCTTTTGCATTTCATTTCGAAACTAAATCATCCGCGATTGTCTTGTCTGTCTCACCCCATTCTTCTTGTCAGTCAGCTCGACTCACTCTCCTCACTGGATAAATGAAATCTGATCTGTGATGCAACTGTCGTTCAACTGCAATGAGCAGCCGCGTTCACTTTTTAATTCTAGTGTCTGTTCTTTTACTGAACTAAATTATTTTTATTACTATAAAAAAATCTAAACGACGGTGGGGGTCGGTGACGCGGTGGGCAAGTGAAGTAACCGGTGTTGCGGCTTAACACCGGTATCACCGTCAGCCCTGTCTATCGTGGCAAGCCTACCTCTTATGCTTCCGGGTGCCCGCCTGTGACGTCACGGGCTATGTGGGCCAATGGGATTGGAGTTGTTTCACACGTGCTTCAGACACCGGTCCTGCTGGCAGCAGTCCCCATAGTGTCCTCTAGAGGAACCATGGTTACATGTGTAACCCGAGATGTTTGGCATGTTGCTTTTTTTAATTATTAGTTGTTGTTGTTTTTTATATTAGGAGTGTTGTTTACTGGTGTTTATTTTAATACTGTTCAATTAAAATAAAGAACATCATTAACAGAAACCTATTGAGTAATTTATTTAATGGATTCATTGACCGGCAAAGTACCTCATTCTTCTCTGCAGAACCAGGGGTTGGGGCATCCTGACCAGGGGCAGAGACCGGGCGAGAGTTTTGAGGACCAGGTGAGCTCATCATTTTATCAGATGGAGTTTCAGTTCTGGAGCTGCAAGACCAGAGAGTCCACATTACTCTTTTAGACACACACCTCACCTTTGTAATGACTTTGCTCTGAAAAGATTCTGCTTTCAAGTCTGTTCTGCCACACCCATCAAAATGTCTCAGAATTCAATATGCGTTGAATATGTAATGCACACTGACATATTTTTACAGGGTGTTTTGAACAATAACACAATGCAACAACTAACAATATATATGCACTACCTTAAAAAGTTTGGAATAATTAAAATGTTTTAAAAATGTTTTTGAAATAAGTCTCCTATGCTAACTGAGACTCATCAATGTTGAAAACATTTCTGCTGCTTAATATTTTTGTGGAAACTGTGATACACTACCTTTCAAAAATTCGGGGTAAGAAAGATAAAAAAAAATCAATACTTCTATTCAGCAAGGACGCATTGAATTGATCAAAAGTGACAAGTGACATTTATAATGTTACAAAATAAATGCTGTTCTTTTGAACGTTCTATTCATCAAATAAAATATCATGGTTACACATTTTTTTAACACTGATAATAATAATAACCAATATTAATATTTCAGCACCAGTAATAACTGAGAAGAAATTCAGCATATTATAATAATTTCTTAAGAATCATGTGACACTGAAATAATGGCTGCTGAAAATTCAGCTTTGCCAACATAGAAATAAATACAAGTTTAAAATATATTGAAGTAGAAAACAGTTAAATTGTTAATTAATTTTTCACAGCTTTTACTGTAACACAGCCTTGGTGAGCATAAGAAACTTAATTCAAAAACATTAAAAAATATATATTTTTTTCCAAACTTTAACAAGTAGTGTACACTAAAATAAATCATTAAAATAATAAAGACATTGTGGTTTTAATAATTACAGCTAATTCTAAAAAAAAATCTGCTAATTTGCCCTGTAGTAGTGCTATCAAATGGTGCCACCGATCATATTAAATATGTACAGGTTAAAGTATTCTGGAGTTTGTTTTAAATGGGTCAGGCATCTCAAACTCTAATGAAAATATTTCAGGTGTATCAGGTGATGTTTACCTTTCCGGTGACTCCTCAAAGATGCTGTGACATCCTGAATTCTCCATCATCACACTGCGGTTCAGGTGTTGAAAATTAGCGAATGAGTGTGACATGGGTGAAGTTTTCCCTCCGTCCGTACCAGCTGCTCTCTTCTCTTGGCCAGAGAGACCGTAGGACAGGCCGTCCAGCGCTGGGTTCAGAGATCGTGACATGTAGGTGTCTGCAGACTGCGGGCGCCGAAGAGGGGAAGCAGGGTACGGGGAGAGCTTGCTGATGAGTGGAGTGAGGAGGTCTGCATAAGCGGCCTTGGCAGGTTTAACAAGTCGATCCACATGGATATTGAGCATCTTCTGCTCAAAAGCGCAAGAAAAGGCGCTGGGCGACAGGTTCTGGAGCCAAGAAAGCAAGCTTAGGTCGAGATCATCGCAGCCGTTCCCGCACAGCATGTCTATTCCCAGAAGAATCTCACTCTCTGTGATCTCCTCTCCGGTGGCTTTGCTCTGGCAGAACTCGACGCAGCATTCATACAGAAGGCCTTTAATAAGAAGCTGGAATAGACGATTGGAGCTAGCGCGGAACCCCGCCTCGCTCAGCTTTCGGTCAGCGGGAATGAAGTCTGCCACCATGCCGCAGGCCTCCTCAAAACACTGCACGCGTGCTGTGCTCGGGTTCCAGTCCTTAAACTCAGCATGGTTGGTGAGGCGGGGCAGCGTCAGGAGAAGGCAAAGCTTGCTGTAGTCCTCCTTTGATGAACAAAACTCTTCCAGAGCATGCAGACACTTCACAGCCTCCTGCATGGTCAGCTCCAACTGAACACAGAGAGACAGAATGAGAGAGAAGCCTGAGCCATTTGCAAACAAGCTCTAATCGGTTTCTCACATGGTGCTACCATGGTTTTATGGACAAGATACGCTCTCAAGATCAACATCAATATTTTAGTGGCATGTTTCAATTTTCAAGTTTATTTCTAAACTTTACATTTTGAACAAGTCTCTTATGCTAACCAAGACTGCATTCATTTGATCAAAATACAACAAAACAGGAATATTGTGAATTATTATTGCAATTTAAACAACTGTTTTCTATTCTGATGATTTATATGTAGCATATAAAATATAATTTATTTCTGTGATGCAAAACTGAATTTTCAGCAGCCATTACTCTATTCTTCAGTGTCATATGATCCTTCAGAAATCATTCTAAAGTACTGATTTGGTGCTTAAGACACAATGTAAAAGTCTTTACTGTCACTTTTAATCACTTTTTAACAGTATGCACAGTTAAAAATGTAAAAAGCAGTGCCACATAATGACAAACAAAATGAATCAAACATCACATGGTGGCATCTGATGACAAGACACCATTTCTGTGTAGGTTGTCATGGTGACACTGATGTTACTCACATGTTGTGGCTCATTCTCAGCAGACATCGCGTTGTTCACGCACAAAGCTTCCAGAAACTTCTGTTTCAAAACAATGTAGCGGAACCTGAAAGTACATGGGAAAATGCAGTAATACACCGTACATGAATTTAAACCAACAGTGCTTCATTTTATTGAAATATTCATATAGATCATTTGGGCAGTATTGCAGGTTTTATATTGCTATATTCAGTGAACACTTAAAAATTTAGTGTTTATGCACAAAATCATAACTCAAAATTCTAAAGTGTAGAAGACTAAATTTATTTTCTTCATATTTAAATGCAAGTAAACTTCTATTAGATACGAGATGCAATTCTAGAAAGATTCTGAGCTGATCTCTCACCTTTTCCTGTCAAATTTATCCAGACACTCAAGAGGCTGAATAAACTGCAACACCTCATCCCACTGTCCATCCAGAATGAGCTGCCTGCAGGGGGGAGGAATGGTGGAGGGAGAGAGAGGGAGAGAAAGAGTCTAAACTTGGAACAAGTGTGGCTAGACAATTTGACTTGTAATAGCACAATAATAATACCACCTTCCACAACTAACAATTTAGACAAGTTTAGAATATATTCAAAGAAACTTTTTCAATGAAAACAAGTCAAAATCAACATTTCATTATCTGACTGGTATTAACATTGTATCACACTCAAATAGTACATCAGAGACGGAAATTAGCAATATAAAACACACTACATCTAAGTTTAGTAAGTTTAACGTGGTGATAAAACTCTGAATAATGCCTTATCAGTCTATTCCGAGTTAAGTAGGGTTGTGGTGTGAAAGGCACCTTTGTTTATAAGGGGCCTGGTTTCTGAAAAGGGACCCAAACTCTCACGCACTGATTCAATGAGTAATGAGCAACGCTCAGAGAAAACACAAGTGAGCAATTTTATCACTTCAATGCAGAGTTCAACCGCCATAAATATGCAAACACAACCATTATATAAGGGGTCGACAACCTATGGCACATGTGCCAACATTGGCACTGATAATGACCAGCACACAAGCAATAGAAAAAGAGGTGTATGTATTTTATTTAAATAAAGTTCTTTAAACCTGCATTACACTATTAAAGTGTTTGCGCTAGTCAATAGACACGCATGCGACTGCTGTACATACAAGCCGCTGAGAGCTCAATGCAGATCAATGCAGTGTTGTGCTTTTGCCTAGGTTAAGTCCGTTTCACTTTCCTAACACGGCGAGACTGACAGCTTACAGTTTATTCTGCATTTGTTGCTCTTAGCTTTCAGTAAAATATATTAGTACTATGAAGTTGGAGATTTTCAAGTCAGTATGCAGAGTTCTTAACATTTCACACATGAATCACAATGATGGTGATGTGCAAACTACAACATTCCCTCACACACACACACACACACACACACACACACACACACAGGGCATTCAGTAGGGTCACACTGTAAATCTCTTATTCAAAGTCTAATTTAAACCTGAAAATTAACAAACTTTTAGGATTTTGAAAAGTTTAAACATTTTCTGAAAAAATGGCTTCAGAAATATTTAAGATTCTGCATTATTCATATATGTAACGTGTAACATGATTAATCATGTTATGTAACGTGGCTCATCAGGTTTCAACTATAAAATGTTTTTTTTAATCTGAATTTTTGAAAAATGGTTATGTGGGAGGGTGAATGATGGTACTGTTAAAACAGAAAAATTTAAAATGGCACTTCTTGACCAAAAGGTTGCCGACTCCTGCATTATCTGATTGGATCATAACGCCGCCACATTAGGTTTTTAATTTTGATTTAAATTCTGCCTGAGTATAAGATGTTTATGGATCAAACCTGAGGAAGAGCATGTCATCTGAGTACAGGCCGTTGATGACCCCGCTCTCTTTCTCCAGGGCCAGCATGCTAATGTGCAGCTTGCGGGAGCTCAGAAAGTCCAGCATCACCTTGATGATCTCCACTTCCTTCACGTTTATGATCTCCTCAGCCGTCATGGTGGCAAGCTTTCACAGAAAGAATGAGAAAATGAATAAATCATTTAGCAAATGGTTATATCCGAGAACAGTTATAGTATAGACTTTCTCAATCAACCAATGGTCATCAGGCCATTGCTAAATTTAAAAAACATGAATTCAGAAACAATTTTTAGTTTTTTTCCCCCCCTCTCCAGACCAGATCTAATGACTAGGCTAGGCTATAAAATATAGAACTTTAGGGCCCCTCTAATCACAGGGCATGCTGACATGCTGAATATGTTGACATGCTTTAATGTTCAAAAAACACATTATTTTTCAAATACTGTACATTATTGTAGGTCCTCTATGCCCCGCCTCTCTCAAAAATGTAGTTTTCAACAAAGCCCCCTCCTTTGACAAGCCCAATCTGCTCTGATTGGCCAGCTGACCCAGTGCATTGTGATTGGCCGAACATTGCGAGCGTCAGCTTTCAAAGTAAATATCAAGACAGTTAATAATGTCGTTAGTTTTACCATCAGTTCAAGCCCGAAAGGGCAACAGAGTCGCGTGACAGACACAGTGATGATGCAGTACACAAGCTGCGGTTAAGACAGCTGACGTGCAATGATGACCCTGTTCCCCTCACACACACGACGCGTTACTCTGCGCTGCGCAAAACTCCGCATTTGAACAGTCAATAGCAAATACTTAAACTGATAACAAAACATACTTACAGTCGGTGATTCAGAAGCGCCAGATTGTCATAGCAAAGTCGGAATTGACCCTTTTTTTTTTTTTAGAAATAGCCTTTGTGCACAGCCAGCCTTGTACTCTTCTAGGTTAAAAAAAAACTGTCGTCCATAAAATGCGTTGCACAAATTCGAACATCTGGGTTGTGCTGTTCTGTTGTAAATAAATCTTAACCAATGATTCCTAATTGCATCTACTTCTAGAAGGCCAAGTAAAGTGCTTTTGCTTTCACACTGAAACACACAGCGTCTCTCTGACATGGCTGCATCAACACTACTGCTGTTCCTGAAACCACGCCTTCTTTCTTTGCGTGCACATTTGGGCGGCATTATGCTAATATTTCCACATAGTGATGTAGACATGTGGGGGCGTGTTAGAACTAGCCGTTTTAGGTAGGCGTGGCTGACTCTTAACTTTTATAAAGAATATCTCTTTGGATTTGAGACTTTAGTCTTTGCAACTTTACAGATCTTCTTTATGCACCAAGAGCTTGTAACACTCCAAAGAGAAAGGAAAACTTGAAATAGCATCATATGACCCCTTTAACATTTCAACATTTACCAATACATTATTGAAATCAAAAGTTGTATTATCTACAGTTGCATTTTTATTACCTAACGTTAACATAGACACTGTAACAAATGTACTGCTAATGGGACCTTATTGTAAACTGTTACTAATAGTTATTATTTCAGTTTATAAAGCCCTGTAATGTACTGTAGCTAGAAATCACTGCAGTGCTGAAAGACTACAAGTGAAAAAGTAACAACCTTAACTTTCTAATTAAAATACCAAACCAAATGTTATGACAAAGAAAAGTCAACATACCAGAAAATGCTAATGAAAACACACAAAAGCATGGGAGGTGACCTGCCATTCTACCAAAACTAAAACAGCCTGTTCCTCAATACTATCACATCACATTATCCAACTTAACCTTCAAATCATTTCAAATAATTCTAATGAAAATACCACTTAGGTTTTGTTTTAAAATGAGCACATTATTCCTGATAGCTAAAGGAATTAGTACTACATAAACGAGAAAACAATTTATTAACATTAGGTATTACCACAACAATATTATTCCTTTGAGAATGCTCTGAATATACATTTTATACATTCCCGGTCTCCCATACATTTCTACAACAAGCACAATGTAGTAGCTTATGAATGGCTTTTTTGGGGATTTAAACCTTCAACCTTTTAGTATTACAAGCACATTCTTTGAACCGCTAAGCCACGCCACCCCCCAAACAAGCACTATGGGGAAACGCAGATTTGTTTTCTCATGCATTGCAGTTCATTACAATACATCTATCTGACCGCTTACACTGATTATGTCCTAAATAAGCTACATTACATCCCATCAGGCACCAGTGAGAGCGGACATCCACCCATATCCACCACCACAGACATATTCTGAAGCTGCGGGGGGAGAGTGCGTGTCATGCAGGCGGCGCAGCAGCAGCAGCAGCAGCAGCCTCCCCGGCCTCGCCTATCCTCATATCAACGGCGATAACCGTCGCGAAGAGCAATTTTAATCTCACCTGATAATCTCTACATACAAGCGAAGTGCAGAAATCTTCTGTGGGTCCACCGAGGGTGTGTCGACACGCACTGTCTAGTGTTTTTTTCCCCCTCCGTGTTTCGGGGCGAGAGGCTCTTGTTGTCCCTGCCGCTCGCTGGTTGTCAAGAACAAGCTTCCTCTGCGCTCTCCACCAATCCGCGCTCACGCACACAAACCCCCGCAAAACCCGCCCCGGTCCGCACTGACCTGCGTGTTATTCAACAAACTGAGGCTTAATGGGGATTTGTGATTAGCAGCATTATGTACGCATTATACTATGTGTGTAAACTAACACTAAGCCGAGAAAGTAGCGGTTTATGGGGATGTTTTGGGTTTTTGTGATGGAATTATCATGTTCTAATTAATTGTAAATTAATACAAACAGCACAAAAATATACACATACAAATAACACACAAAAAATATAACAAAGTTACACAATTAATAACCGATATTTAATTCAAAATCAAATGTATTGCTCGTGGTTTAAATGTTTCATTGGTGATGATTAATTTCAATTTACAATTCCAAAACAATAGTTATATATATAATAATAGTTTTTGTTGTTGTTGACATTTCATTAAAATCCGTTAAGTAGCCTACTATTCAACATCGCTGTAAGCGTGACCAATGTAGTTCAACTCCCGAACGAATGACTCGTATGAGTCGGTTCTTTTTTGTGTGAATCTGAAGTACAGCGCGACCACTCTGGTCCGAATCACTAATCTATCACTCTTAAGAGTCGGTTCTCTTAGAAGAATTAAAATGCATACAGCACGAACAGTGCAGTCTGACTTTTGAACCGGTTCTTTTTAGTGAATCTAAAACAAACAGCGCGACTGGAGGTAGTTTTTTGTTAGAGAAACAAAATGCGTACAGCACGACCAGTGTAGTCCGACTTTCTAATAAATCACTCATTAGTGAATCAATCCTATTCAAAAGCTTTCAAACTATCTTTGAGCCTTAAATCACTCGCTGTATTGACACCCACAATATGTGTAGTTTTTGTTTATACATTGTAATGAATTAAATAAGTTAATGCTTTTTTATCCATTGCATTTATGCTGCCATTTAGGAGTGAAAATGTCATTTAAAATACCTTTTGCACCATTTTTCATTGATATTATCTCTTCATTTGTAAATGAAAATTGTGTTGCATTTCAGTATTTATTCAACAGTTCCATTAAAAATTATAATACTACTTGTAAGGAACCAGAACGGTTAATTTTTTTATGATTCACATCCCTACCCATTATTACACACCAAGTCATAAATTATGTTATTATAAGTAGATAATAATGTTGGATCATAACAGAGGGGAAAATTAGGTCAAACAGATAAAGTTTTGGTTGTAAATCTGTATTTATGTTGAGGTTAACATTTAAATACAACAGGCAAAGCATATGACAAACAAACAGCGGAGATGACCTGGAAAAAGATTAGACAGCATGTGGAAATGAACATCTCTCAGAACAACTTACTTTTACTCTTATCACGTCTCATCATACTTGCACCTGTTAAACATCATCTTTTTCATATGAAAAATATCAGTAATATTCAATGGCTTAAAAAATATGCTTAGTATGTAAAACTATATCTGTACAGCATCAATAAGTTCAAACAATGATTTACTTCACTTAGTAAAAATAACAAATATCTTTCAATTCTTTTGCACCCGAAGACAAAATGTGTTACCAGACAACAGCCTGCCCAAATAATCCCAGCTCTTAAAAATGCACTTCATAATTAAAAATTAGTTCCCACATGATTTAGCAATAATATGCACCATCTCTTTGAAAGCTTCATTATATGATATTCAGTAACTCAGTGTTTCCTCTGTATTATTCATACGGAAATTTACTCTACTCAAACAGTCAGCTAAACTGCTCTGTCTCTCTAAAATGTATGTTTCAAACATACACGGCACCCAGATATTCTGGGTCATGACACTAGCGATAGCAACATATAGGAATGTATTTTATCATTCTAACTAACATGTTTAGTTTTGCTCCTCAACTTAATCAGTTAAAGGCTCCATCATTACTTTTACACCACATACAGAGTAACCCAAGCATGTTCATTTTATAGCAAGTCTTGAGCGAACAACTCTTACTGTAGCTAATTTTACACACGTTCCTGGGGTAGCAGACGTCCAACAAAATATTCAAAATATTCAAACAGAGACATTAAATAAAGCAAGAAATTCTGAGGTTCCAGTACACTAAATGCTTCTTCAACTGCATGACCATCTGTAACGTTAGTCTTCAAGTGCAGTATGTCCCTAATATAATCTTTTACACCTCCATTTCCACAAACACTAAAGAAGCAGATTGTGTATCTTCATATGATGCAATGACTTGCTCATAAACTCAGTAAGTGTGCGTTAAGTATTGCATAAAAGACACAAGACAAGCATAAGGCCACAAAATGTAACATGTCGGAAATAAAAATGACTTAAAAGCGCATCTGTCAGTGCTGCAAATAAACACACACAAGTGTGTATGTGTACTGTAGAACAGAAGGTCTTGAATTTGCCACAAATGAACATCCAAAGCCCGCAAAAATGATTTCTTTACATTCAGGATGTGCATCATAATGTCCGATAGGCAGGAACACTCTCAGTGAGCTGTCAACTTATTTGAGGAGTTTTTTGGGTGTGTTTTGTTTCTTGATCTGCCAGAGGTGGCTGTAGATGGTGATGGCGTCCACACTAGCTGACATGGTCTTAGCGGGGATTTTGCTGAACTGTTTCTTATCCGAGCTGTATTTGTAGAGGTTCTCGATCATTTTGGGTGTGATGGTCTTGGGCCCGATGCCAGCCAGCTTGTTGATCTCCTCCGCCTCTGGATAATATGTGTATAGAGAGCGAAACTGGCAGCCAGAGTCTCTGAACAGAATCAGGAAGTTGTTGGCTTCGGTTTTCTCCATTTCCTGGGAAACATAAAACAAATACTTACAAATATGAAATCATTATTATTCCCCTTCAGGTTTTAAATGACAATCTAGACCTCTGCACCAAGTGAATCAAGAACTATTTATTTAAATAGGACTCATGTAGTATCTTCATATTCCACAGTCCCAGAATAGAAAAAATGAAATAAAAAAATAAATAAATCACTAAATAAAACCATATTTGTTACATGGAATAAGACTTTTAATTCGCTACATAAATTAAATAGAATTTTCTACAGCAATGTTTGTGCAACATTTTTTCCCCTCACATCCAGGATTTTGTTCTTCTGTCCCTCATTGACGCGGCCCGCGAGGCAGCAGTGAGCCAGTGCGTTCTGGATGATGTGTTTATTTGATTTAGCACTGGGCTCCTTGTACAACTTTGGCCCTAGAGAGGAAGAGACATAAGAATTAGAGGAAGCTATCAACATTTGTGTGCCGACTGCTGTTGAGGTTCAAGGTCATGACAAGGTTATGATAGGGGTCAGTCAATTTTATCCATTTAAAATGTCAAAGTTCAGTGTATTCAGTTTAGTGTTACAGTAAATGGCATACTGCTTGTTGGTAGCTGAAATAAAAACGTTCTTCTACATAAAGATTTTAGGTTAAAATGTTTTTGCAGTTCATTTAAATTCATTAGATTGTCATGTCACCTGTGTATTCTGCGTTTGATGCTGCAGATGACGTTGTTGATTCAAGCTCCCAGTTCTCCCCGTTTCCACTTATGGATGGACACGGTGACAGAAAGCCCTCTGTGGACTCTGGCCTGAAAATACACAATCAGACACACTTAAAATAGCTCTTTTATAAAGCCTGAAGTACTAATTTAACAGGTGGCCCTTATTGCTGCTGGAAAAAGCAATGTTTCATATCAAATCAACTGCCCAAAAACCAGTAGTAAGCATAATTCCACACACTGATGTTGAGAAGCTGAAGGCAGTAAAAAAGGAAGCGGAGCATGGATGAAGGAGAAATCGCAACTCATTGGACTATGTTCTAACCAGGTGCAAGTTTCCAGCAACTAATTCAAGTAATTTAAAAAGCCCACAGTGAAAGCAAAAATTCTGCATGACTTGTCATAGAAGTAATGGCCAATCAGAACGTATGTGATGTTTTTATACAGTGATGCAGAGCATGATTCTGTTGCAACCAGATGGATTGACAAAATGTCTTGTCACTTGTCATTTGTCGCTGGACAAAAACTAACATGGAAGTGGTATAATTTATCACTTGCACCTGGTTAAAGGGATAGTCCAACCAAAACTGAAAATTCTGTTATTATTTACTCACCCTCATGTCATTCCAAACCTGTATGACATTCTTTCTTCTGTGTAATACAAAATAACATATTTTGAAGAATGTTGGTAACAGTTTCTGGTCCTACTGATTTTTTGTCCATACTGTGGAAGCCAATGGGACCCAAAACCATTTGGTTACTAACAATCTACAAAATACCTTTTCGCGCTCTACAGAAGAAAGTAAGTAATACAGGTTTGGGATGAAAATGTAATTTTTGGGTGGACTATCCCTTTAAAGGGGTCATATGATGCTTTTTTAAAGATCATTATTTTGTGTATTTGGTGTAACAGAATATGTTGACATGCTTTAATGTTCAAAAAACACATTATTTTTCAAATACTGTACATTATTGTAGGTCCTCTATGCCCCGCCTCTCTCAAACGCTTCGTTTTCTACAAAGTCCCTCCTTCCGACAAGCGCAGTCTGCTCTGATTGGCCAGCTGACCCAGTGCATTGTGATTGGCCGAACACCGCAAGCACTCGTCGGAAATGTAACGCCCCTTACCATAATCGCGAGCTTCATCTTTCAAAATAAATGTAAAGACAGAGCCCGAAAGGGGAACAGAGTCGCGTGACAGACACAGTGATGAAGCTGGTATGTGTTTGCAGTACACAAGCCACGGTTAAGACAGCTGACTCCACTGTGATGTGACCCCCTCTCTCGCGCTCTTTTTTTGCTTTCGACTAGAAACACACAGCATCTCCCTGACATGGCTGCTTCAACACTAACTGCGGTTACTGAAACCACGCCTTCTTTCTTTGCGTGAACATTTGGGTGGCATTATGCTAATATTTCCACATAGTGAGGTAGATATGTGGGGGCGTTCTAGAACAAGCCGTTTTAGGGGGGCGTGGCAGAGTCTTAACTTTGATAAAGAACATAGAGAACCAAATCTCTTTGGTTTTGAGACTTTAGTCTTTGCAACTTCAGGGATCTTATCTATGCACAATCAGCTTGTAACACTCTAAAGAGAAAGGAAAACTTGAAATCGCATCATATGACCCCTTTAAGACACAATGCTAAACTGAGTTTCATAAACAACTGCTAAAAGATGAGCCATTTTCTGTTGTTGTTGTTATGATAAAGTAGCCAACAAAATCACTACAAAAAACAAATATATACTATTATACAACAAAACATGAACACAAAGACTGCTACTGATTGTTTTATGACAAATGACTCAGAGATGATAATTATAACAGTTTATTATGTTCCACTAATATGCTGATGATCTAGTGAACTGATCTGTCCAAGCGAATGAGTTTGTCCAGTGCCCAAGCTGAAATGACAAGCCGTCGGAGACCTAATGACATGGGTATGATGCTGTCTGCAAACTGACCTTCCCTTTCTCCCTTTAGGGGAGCTCAGAAAGAAACGCAGACTGCCAGGAGACAGTCTGCTGCCTCTGAGCAACCAGAGAAAAGACAGAGATACCATAGACAGAGGGTTATGAACAAGACAACAGAGATGTGTGTCAGTACTGATTAATACAAAAGTGTGGCATTTATAATCTCCACAAAAACTCATTATGTTCTCTGTTTTTGAACGATCTTTAACAGGGAAGGTAACAGTGAACTGGACATGGTCTCACCTGGATGTCCTCTTATCAGATTGGACACTCTCACTGTCTGCCAAATTAAGGGAGGCGAGTGATAAGCTGGACACAGAATATCCACGAGGTCTTGACCCTGAACACACAAATACGAATGCATATACATGCACATAATTGGCATACATTTTCTTTTAGAAGCCAGTTTCAAAAGCTCTGATATCATGAGAGCAAATTAAGTGTATTTAAGTGTCATTTTTATACGATTAAAAATATAAACATTTTAATAAAACAAAATGTAGATATATAATATTATTAAAAATATATAATATAATTAGATTTTTTAATATTACTAAGTATATAATAATAATAAATATTAAAATATAGATAGAGTCATATTTATTATTAATACTAATTTTGGTTTTAATAATAATATTAACATAATTATAATTAATAGAAAGTAATATTTTAATAATTGTAATATTGTTTTAAAAAAAGAACAAAAAAAAACTATTTCCCATCGTACCTGTGGCTGTCCGTGCTGGAGGTTTTGGAGACTCCATGATGTCTCTGTGCATAGATTTGGGGCGTGGCTTCTTCTGCTTGACACTAGCGGGGCGTGGCTTAATAACACTGTCCATGTCCTCCATCAGTTTGAGCTGCTTCTTCCTCAAACATTCATTTTTTATATAATCCCGTCTTGCCTTCTCCTCCTCCTTCTTCTCACGTTCATCTTCTGCTTTCAATCTGATTAAGGAAGCAGAGAATACAAGTATGATGAACAAATTTCCCTAAAACCTTGCTTTTACAAGTTTAATGGCTTTTACAAACCATTTTGAATTCATTTATTAAATACAGAACCAAAATGGGTGAATGTAAAAATGGAGTATATTCCAGTGACTAGTAATTTCAATGAATCAGTTCAACTTTTAATTTGTGTCATCACTCAGAAATGTTACGGAAAGATCTTAACTTCAAATGCTTTAACATTTTTTTTGTATTTTATTATTGTTATACTACTGAGTATAAATGAAAATAATTTGTTCTTAGTTTATATTTCTATTTAAAAAAAATGATTTATTTTACTGTTTATTTCTATCTTCACACATTAAACATTTCAATTATCCTCTGCAACTGTTACTGCTTAGTCAAAATGCCAGTTTGTTTTAACAACACCTCTTTCTAAAAACACCTATATCTTTAGCACACATTGATATCTGTAGCATGATGTGTTGAATTAGCTACAGTATCTGTGATTGTGTGACTTAGTTTACTGTGATCGTGTAGTTCTCTGTTATTGTGTGATGTTGGAGTTGTGGTGTTTTTCATACCGTGCTGCTTCTTTCTTTTGTTCCATCTCGGCCTCCTGTTGCTGTTTCTTGATCTGCATCTCTTTCTCCCTCCGTAGCCTTTTTTCCATCAGAGCTGCCTTCTTCTGTGCAATATCCTCCTCTGGCTTTAGGTCATCCTGAGTCACAGCAACACAAACAAACAATCATTCAGTCTGACACAGAACCTCATGTGCAGCTGGGTGTACGAGACAATGTCTCTCACGGAACATTGTGTTGTGCTTCATGAACGATAGAAAGCACAAACACTGAACTCAAACACAAGAACCCAAACACATTTTTAAAATACAAAGAGTCTATCTCAAATGAACGCTTGCTTGAGAATTGCACGTTTAAATGGAGTTAAAATTACAAAGGCATGCTGAAGCCCTTGATCAGAGCACCATACACTGCCACCATTTGTGCCAAATACAAAGAATGAAAGTATTTTGTTTGTTTGAAATAAGACCCTGGTTTTTGATATTTTAGAGAAATATTGTCAGGTATGGCAGTAAAATCTGCTAGTATTATAAATAACTTTTTTTTTTTTCATTGCTTTAACATGTGTCCATTTTTTAGATGCCAAGGACCCCTAAATATGATCATTCACTTGTTAGGGACCCCATCCTAAATTTTAAAAGGCAGTTAGGCAATATACTGTATTTAAAAGGCAATATATTTTATGTATAAAGGCCCAATTCATACTGTGAAATGAATATTATAAATATGTGTAAAATATTATTTAGAAAATATTTAGTTTCTATTACTATATTTATTTATTTAAAATTAAACTTTCATTTTTTTATTTATTTCATTCTACTTTTTTATAATTATAAAATTATTTCGATTATTTATTTTAATTTTTTTTACACTGTCTCTAAATTTGGGGTCCCAATTTGCAAACCCCTGATTTACACTCATTTTCTTTATATGCGAGTGATTTCTGCTCTCCAACTCTTCATACGTCCTATGCAAATATATGATTTCTCACCCTATAGAAGAAGCCACAGCACATCTTCTGGTCTGGTCTAAATTCTAATCCAGTCTCTGTTTCTTTGCTGCTCTCCAGATCATGTCCATCCAGAGGCTTCAGAACAGAGAGAGGAACCTCAATCAGATTCTTTTTCTTATGCGACTCTTCTTCATTTGTGTGTCCACTGGCTGTTAATGTCAAATGGTCCATTGTCGGCTGAGACAGAACCTCAGATGTTGGTGCATTCATGATTTTGTTACTCTCGCCAACATCCTGTTTTTCTTCTCTCTGCTTTTCATTCACCTGAGCAGATGGCGAATTTTCAGCTGCATCTTTGGAGTCTTTCTTACATGGCTTTTCTCTAGCTGTGTGGTCCTCACTGGAAGGTCCCTCACCATCTCCCAAATAGGCAAATGGGCTGGACTGCGCTTGACTCGGCAAAAAACGTCTAAGTCGAGGCAGGCTGTCCACTGACTGTTGAGTGTTGAGCATGCGGCTAAAGGGGGTGACCTTCAGCTCGTTGGGCCTTGGCGTTCGTGGGGTCCTTGCGTGGAAAGACGCGGACTTCCTTTTGATCGTAGAGGGCGAACGGTGAGTCGTGCGTGGCGAACCGGTGGACGACAAAATGGGGGAGAGCGACCCCACCGAACTTCGACCAACTAAGCTGCTGCTGCGCAGCTCACGCATCTGTTTACGTGGCGATGGCTCGGGTGGCGAAATCACCCAACTTTGGTGTTCACGCATTTGCATGATGTGTTCCTGCTGCTGTGCCAAGCGCTGCATCTCTGACTGTAGGAAGTTCAGAGACGTGTTCAGGCGCTCAATGGATTGCGTATACTCTGCCAGGTCCACCTCCACGGCTGCTTCCTCTAAGGGTGACTTCGGCGGTGCACCGTCAGGTCGACATCTCTCAAGTCTAGAATCGGAGTCATTCGAATTCAAAGGTGTCTTTAGAGGTTGAAGGTCACTGGTTTGTTTTTCCCGACCATCTGGGCCTTCACTGTCGCCCCCTAGTGGCGACACAACTCCTTTACGCCTGACCACATTGAGGAAGGCGGTCCTGCCCATGCGCTGCCTGTGATGCGTGAAAGCTGCTTCGACTTTCTTCTTGTGTGCCTCAATGGCTCTGCGTTTCTCTTCCAGCTTCATCTTCAACTGGACCATCTCCGACGCCAACAGGTGTGAGGTATCACGAGGGGAGGTGATGCGAGAGGGGCTGTGTGCGTCAGGAGTAATCGAACGAACTGTCCCAGTCGCTCCTGGGGTTGTGACGTTCAGTTCGCCGCTCTCAGGCGTGTTACCGCCACTCCCGCTGCTGCGGCCATCACCGTGGCTTAGTTTACGAAACTTCTGTTCGGCAAAGCTGGTCATGCGAACTGCAAAACCCAACGAGGAGGCCATGCTGGTGGCCAGGGAGCGTGTTTCCAAAAGGTTTGGACAAGGGCTGCCGGATATCTCCGGAAGTGGACAGGAACGAGCTTCGCAGTCCTGGTCCATGTCTGAATAGTCCTTCAGGGATGAGTCCTCATCCTGTCCGTCTTGGATATCTTCGGTACGGACATGGATTCCAGTGTCCAGGTCAGTAGAGGTGGAATTTAGGTCCGCATCATCCGCTCTGGCCTTGGAAAGCGAGTCCTCTGGATCGTTTGGATCAGATGCGGAGTTGTGGGAAGATGGGTTGTGCAGGAAAAAAGCGCTGTCCCCAGATGGGGGCTGCAAGCTGCTGTGGGGTCGCTCAGAGTCATGGATGATCTTCAGGGCTTCTTCTATGCTAGGGGTGTTGGGCTGAGGGTTATACGGAGGGCTTGGGTTGTCTGCTGATACACCATTTGAGTACCTGAAACATGGGATATTCATTCAGTTTCAATGAATTTTCAAGATCTGGATAACAATTACTTCAATATATAATAGCTGTCCACTGAATATAATAAAACTGTGAGGTTGAGGTAGTGACATTTGTCCTAATCTTTTTAAAATATGCAGACTGTGTTGAAGTTTCAATTAGCTTTAGTGTGTAAATCATATCATTTACACATTGGACACATTGCATGTATGCAAAATATTGCAGTTTGGACGCTTTCATTGCAAATAAACTGGCTTATCGATGGGTACTGAATTGAGTCTGTACTTGATAATGACAATACAGCAGAAAGACTGGTATTGTCACCTTTTTACAATTTTAGTATGGACTTAACAAAGGACTTGCACTTGTATGGACTGTGTGTGTTGTTTTTATTGTGGTTTTGTCATTTTGACAGTGTCCTTCTCCATGCAATTTAATTTAGTCAAATTTCTTTTGTGTTTCAAAAAACACAGGTTTAATATAACATGAAAGTGGGTAAATAATGACAAAATTTTCATTTTTGGGTGAACTGTAGCTTTAAATGACCCTAAAAGGAAAACAAAGATTTACTCAGTGTAGTTTCCCAGACGATGTCTGCTGATGTGTCTGTTGGATTCCTCATCATCCTCCTCAGGTATTTTGCTGTGGGCGTTCCCATTAACGGGCTGGAAGGAGAGGTTCCTCCGCATGCCTCGGGCCGCGTGGTGAACTTTAAAACCCAAACCTTCAGTGCTTGCCGATCGGCTCAGTCCACGTCCTGAAGATGAACTCATGCTGTCATCAAATGGAATCTCAAATGATATCCCATGAGCTGAAGACCTGAGGTGAAGACAAACAGTTACTCATCTGCTGCATGTAAAAGACAGAGTAAGAGAGTCAAATGCATAGAAAGTTTGTAGAGTGCACAAACCGTTTCTCTTTAGGCCATGTCCCCACACATCCGTCCACATACGACAAGGAGGACGACCGCCTGTTAACTGTTGTGAGAGAAAGAAATACCCATTTACTTACATGCAGCAGCAAGTAAGTGTTTACAACTAAATAAAAGTTCATCTACATTTATTCAGTGCATTCAAGCTATACATTTTATCAGTGTGTGTGTTTTACCAGACGAGCTACAGGATATACAAAAGTAATATGAGGTGCAAAATCTCTTATAAGTTCAATAAAAGTGTGACTTAATTTTTGGAAATCTTACCTGAGTTGTCATTTTTAGGTTGTGACCTAAAGGAATATAAATTCAGACTTGCATAAGCTCATTATTTAAATTCTTTGCAAACCTCAGACTTGCATTGTATTAAAGACAAACCTAGACTGTTCTGGACTGCCTGGTCTGTGGATCAGGTTTTGTTTGGTTATGGGAGCCATTTTATTGGACTGGGATGGGTCAGATACTACAAAAGAAAAGATAAACAAAATTGGTCCTAATAAAATGCATGACATGCAAACCAAATATAATGAGACACCAGATGAGACAGACCTTACCTTTGGTATTGAGTGTGCGGGGCTGAACAAAAGATGGTTTCACAACTTCACACCACCAGAATAGCTCTGCCATAAACACAAGGTAGTTACTCTGAAAACACACAAACACACACTAAAATTATTGAGAAGAAAATGATACACAGCAAAGAGAAGTAGTGAAGAGACCTAGATGGAAAACTTTCAGACAATCTCTCTTCAGTCTTTAAATATATTGAACGAAGGGCCTGACATGTTTGTAATGTTGCTCTATAACCACAAGGTGTCAATGTTCTCTTATAGATTGTAATAGACTCTTACTAACTTCAAAAAGCAAGATAATGGCTAATGTATGTATATACTACACAGTATATACTGTGTACTGCCTACTACTTTTAAAAAATGTGCGGTGTATGATTTATAAACCTGGGTATTCTTTGCATACAGACATTTTGCAGACTACACACAGTATTAATACTATATACTGCATGAGGAATAGTATGGATGGTCATGTGATCTGAACATGGTGGCGGTGTAGTCTAGATTCTGATCACCCAATAGGCATCATAACATTATGTTGTGACAGAACACACAAACACAAGTTTAAGCTATTTAAACACCATAATAATAGTGCAAAATAAACTGACTTTCCTCAGTGTATAACATAATATAGTGTGTTTATTGAAAACAACTGTGCAGCAACCATAAAAAGAGTCTCTTTCAGTGCATTAAAGGGTGTTCTGACCCGACAAGAGCAACAAAGCAACCGGGGCAGGCTGACACGAACAGAACAGACCCAGCACTCTCTGCTGATTTATTCAGTCCTGACACCTTTATTTCACCACAGTTAGTGGCTGTTAGCCTCATGAAAAAGGCTTTTTTAGTGAAAAACACACCACTTAAGCCCTAAATGACCAAAGAAATCAAATGTACCTTTGTTTTACTCGAGTACATGTGATTGGCTGAAGCAGCCGACAAGTATTTTAACCTGGTTTACATAATCGACCACAGACTCATCTAACATAATGGTAAATACACGACTGCCAGTTTGGAAAATGTAACACATTTGCTTAAAAAATAGGTTATAATGGTGCCTGTGTGAGGTAATGGCTACACATGGACTGTGTTTATCTAGCCACACCACACCACTAACATAACTGTCTGAGGCGATCCACTTGGCAGCGCTCTCACATGCACACAAACGATGACTCAGTCATCCCAAACCGTCAGATTTAAAACACGCACTGGTCGGCTTTCCTTTCCTGCGTCAGCCCTGCTGAAATTCCCTGTAATACTCCAGTGATCAAACTTGCATTGGCCTCAAACTATATTCAGTGGAAAATCACCACATAAAGTGCTCAGAAACTGTATCCTAGAAACCATATAAAGTTTGCAACACTGAACCAAATGGGAAACACACATCATACTCATTGTGTTGAAACATCTGAGAAAACCTCAGATACTAAATCATACTATAAAAAAAATAATATATATATATATATATTAGAGCTGGGCAAGTTAACACGTTATTATCGCATTAATTGATTAACGCCGACAATTATTTTATCGCGCATTAACGCAGTGTTTTATTATTATGAAAGTCCATTGCTCACTGGCTCTGAATACACACACAGACAAACCATGGGTCACAGGAGGGGTGGGATGTTGATAAGTACTGGCTTGGGATGGGCGTCATCACGCGTCTCAACCAATGAGAGCATTTGGGGTGGGCCTAAGACTGCAGCAGCGCTCACATGAACGCTCCCGATAAAATTATTTAGGCTAAGTATCAACATTCACAAACCACTGTTCACTGTTAATTTTTAAGAATGCAACGTGCTCGTAATCACGACTTCATAAGTGGGAAATAGGAAGTTTCCGATAGCACGTGACGTGAAGACAGCAGACAGACAGCACGGAGCGATCACACTAGTCAAACGAACCGGGCTTTGGGGGTCAAACATGCTCGGGCACGGTTAAGATTGCCTAGTGTGAGTACACCCTTATTCTCCCGCATCCCGCACACACCCGAGTTTCTACCCACCCGCACCCACCCATTATATATTGTCCCGCGCCGCACTCTGTTGTGTTGGGTCCTGCGATCGTGCAGGTCTCTGAAGGTGCCTGTTATAATGTTATGATCGAGGCTCTGGACTCCGAGCATAACTTGTTTTTCTATAACAAACTATAAAATATTTTCTATAGAAACATTAATGCCCTGGCAGTGGCAAATAGCTTGTTTTATATTTAATTTGATTACATTAATGTTATAAATTGAGATTTACAAGAAATATTTTAACTGCTACTATGTAAAAGGAATACTGCTGTAAAATCTTACACCTTATTTGTTTAAAGTGTTTGCCAACCAAATGTTATTGCACTTTTGTTCATATAGCAGTACTTTTAAATGAAAAAAGTGCACAATACACTACTTTTGAATACATTATTGAATGTTGTGCGTAACAATGCGATTAATCGCAGACAATCATGCGATTAATCACGATTAAAAAAAATTAACCATTGCCCAGCACTAATATATATATATATATATATATATATATATATTAAAATAAAAAAATAAATAAAATTTTCTACTGGTTAGTCAGCTTACATACCATTGTCTTCTATAGTAAAATCGTAAAATCAGCACATCAACTGAAATTTCTAAAGAAAATCAGAACAGTGATTGTCATGTAACAATAGGGCTGGGCGATATAGCTAAAAAATTATCACGATATAATGTTTCATATAATTCTGTATCGATAATCATTGAAAATGTTTTATAACCTTTCTTAAACAGAGAGCAGTAGAAAAAAGGTTTAAATTTAACCATTGTATTTTTAATTTACCCAATTTATTAAGACAAACAACAACTTATTTTAGTCTTAACAAACAAAATAACAAATAAAACAAAATAACAAAATAAAATTGAAACAAATATCTCCTTTCTTATATTTTATTTGCAGATTAAATAAGTGTTAAAGAAACTTTTGGCCCATCTCCTGAGGCCACAGGAGGGCGCAATGAGCAAAATAATGCACCTTATTAAACGTTTTATTCAAGGCAATGAAAATAACGGCTGTCTATAAAAAAGTACATAACGTCTAAACTAATATTTATAAATCAAATATGATTTCGTAAATTGCATAATTGGTTTCGGCTTTAACCTAACCAATATCTTCTCCGCATTAAGCTTCTATATTTCTCTAATATTTTGAATGGAAAATGCAGCAGCGGCGCATCTTGTGGTTTCAACTGGAAATAGACTAACAAAAACATTTGAAATGCAACAACATCATCCTTACCGCATCTCATGTGCGCCGCTGATAAGGCTCCCTGACGCACACCTAAAATTCAAATATACCGTTTTTTCATTCAAATGCAAATTTTTATTTTAAATTTGACTTATATTCCTTTTTTTGATTCACAGTCTCCTCATCGCATGCAGGCACGGCACTCATTTCAGCGTGTGTTTGTGCGTTCTGTTGGCTCTCTGCTTGTCAAAAAAAAAGTGTGAAACTATCATGCGATATAGCAAACATTTGTTCTATCGTTATCGATGATGGTGTACCGTCGATACATATCGATACCGTTTTATCGCCCAGGCCTATGTAACAATCATCATCAAAACATATCAGGATGATCTATCAAAATTTTATCTGTAAGTTTTTATGGTTAATTTATATTCAATTTGCTCAATTTATTGTTCATAAAGCTGTGAAAGACATACTGGTAAAAAAAAATGTATAGCCTGAATGCACTGTAAGTCACTTTGGATAAAAGCGTCTGCTAAATGCATAAATGTAAATGTGAAAGAACTATATACCATAAATGAGACTAACTGGAGATATTATTATGTTCTTAGAGATAACAATGGCTCCACTATATTTCTTCTTTCTGCATTTTAACTCTGTTTCAAAATATTTAACATGGTGTGGAAAAAAAGCGGCATTCTTCAACAAGCCTATGTGTTGGAAAGTGTTCATCTTTCTGTTTAACTTCAGAAAGAGAGACACCAAAGTGAGGGCAGAATAGTGTATTATAGGAATATTGTAAGGCATGGCAGGAGTTACATTTGTAAAGCACAGAATAGAATTCATGACAATTATGTGGCATGTCTGTGAAATTTAGTATCAACAGCCAAAATTTCCTTTTACAGTTTTTACATTTAAAGTTTACTGTAACTGGTCTGTTCATTAAAATTGATTTAGCATTGTGTGGGTTTATCTATCATAAGACTCTGCCCAGAAAATAACTGTTAATAAAATATCACATGTAAATATGAGTGTATTTAGACGTTCTAAAGAAGTGGAATAGACTTGATTTTAATACAAAGATCAATACTTAATTAAATCAACACTTCAGAGAACATCTCCTCACCTTTTGAACTGTGCAGGGTTCTCCTATATCTAGAACTCTACGTTCTTGGGCCAAAAGTTCTCTCAGATGTTCATTTACCTGCATTAAAAAATTAACATATGTAAAATAAGCATGTACACATGGACAAACTTGCACAAATAAAGATGCATTAAGAGCAGGAGGGTGGGGACTTTTTGAATTGGATTATTTTGTCTTCTCGGAAACATATGCAGAAGTAATTTACACAGTTTCTTAAGGGCAGTACTTAAAACAAAATAAGAAAAATTTACACATCATCCTGTTTTATTGTTTTGCCTTCTTGAGCATCAGTAAATGTTTCCATCTTAAATTATTAACATTTTGCATATTCTGCAAGGGTTAGGGTTAGTAGCATGGGAAAATATGGGAAAGTTGAATCTTGTGGTACATATCAGAGAAGTGTTTCCTGCAGCAGTACCTTCCAGTGGCACAGCATCAGGACAGTAGAAGTGCAGTAGTGCAGCCAGAGCGCAGCCGTCTGTGTTGTCCTTCAGGAGATTGTCCACCAGGGGGAGACAAAGAGCCGGACGTGCTTTAGAGTCCTCTCTTCTGTACTGGCCCTGTGGATTATGCACACAGAATCGTTGCTATGACAACAAGATTGTTAAAATGGAAATGCATCATAACCAGAGCCAGTTAAGGGACACACAAACACAAACACACACACACACATACTGGTTTGCATGTTTTATGGGGACATCCCATAGGCGTAATGATTTTACACTGTACAAACATTATTTTCATTCCCCTTACCCCAACCCTATCCCTAAACTCACACAAAAATTTCTGCATTTTTAGATTTACATTTTTTTCATTGTGTCTAATTTATAAGGTTTATAAGTTTTAAATTTATAAGTTTCCTCATGGGGACCCCAAAAAAAAAATGTCCCCACAAGGTTCCCATTTGGTTCCCATAAAGTAGGGAATACCAGGCACACACACACACACACACACACACACACACACACACACACACACACACACACACACACACACACTTTGAAATTAAGTCAATTAATTCAAATTAAGTCTATGGCCTAAATTAAGAGTTTCTCAAATTAATGTGTTGATCTTAATCATTTTCATTCATAAATACAGTGAATTACTGATTTTGGATTGGATTCTTGTCAGTAGACTGCTTGCTAACGCAAGGTGAGAACAAGAAAAAACCAGTAATGGACACAGCTTAGAGAGCTTACATAACTCCAGAAGAGGTAAGGTAAACAACAGAACATACTTCGATCTCTATTAGTGTGTAGGTGCCCAACAGTCACACTAGACTGAGCATGCGGACACTGCAACACTCATAATATGGCGTCATATTCTGCAGCGCCTTTTTTGAAAACATAATTCAACATATAATACATTCAAAAACCTAAAACTATTTAATAAACTTCACTACTTCAATTCTTCAGATTTAAAGTTTGCATTCTTTTAATTCAGCTAAGAGGTAACGCAGACTTTTTATTGGCCACATATCAACACATGGCTTAAATTCACAGGGCAGATTTCACCAAACTTGAACTCTGGAATGCAGTAAAAATTCACATGAGCTTGTTTTTCCTGTCTCCTGCATTCGCATGTGTATGAATGGAAGACAATGGAATAAAAAATGCAGTGCTCTTACATTTTCAAAACATCTCATAGTTAGTGTAATGATTACAGTTTTTCTGAATTGCTAAAACACATTTCTTGAAACCATCACTCATTTTCTCAAAACCTTAAACACAAATCCAAACCTTCAAACTAAATTCACAGAACCCCTGACTCTTCTGGCAAAATCAAACAATCGCTTCAAAACCATTTCACCTGTACTCAAAATCAAACAAAGCTTTCAAATCATACTCAGTACACACATTAGTCAATAATATACCCACTACAGATCATTCATTAGACACTACATCAAAAAATGGAGAACACTGGACATGCATGTAGTTACAAAAAAAATGTTTATTGTATTTAGTAAATATTTTGCAAGAAATAGAACAAAAGAACAAACAAAAGAAATCACACCTAAGTTTGGTGGATACTCCGGGAAAGTTTTCAGTCCAATGATCCAGTAAACGAATGCATTCAAACAATCCGTCCAAAACAGAGCTAATATAAAGGAAACAAGGCTGATTACATCAGAGATTGCAGAGAGAACAGAGACTCGCGTTGCGTTTTCAGTGAATTATTCATTCCAGTGTGTTTTGCTTTAAAACACAAGCTCTGTCATATTCCCACCGCTGTATGGCCAGATGAGATGCGACTGGATAAGTTTCTTGCTAGTAAAGTTTTGATGGATGAAGACTGCAATCAAGGTTAAGGCGATGGTACAGGAGTCATACAGTAAGCACGCGTTATAATAATGCATATGAGTGCTCTTGACGCACTGATCGCACATTGTATTTATGCACAGGCACAGACATTTCCGTACATTCACGTTGTTTCCACACACATTCACGATAATGTTTTGATTTGCTGTGTTTAGTTATACTGAATGGATCCATGTACTGTAGTAGATATATGCTGTCAGCAGGCGGTTGGTTTATTTTTATTTTTTGCCATCTCCATGTGGTCCTGTTCGGTATCGCAACTTGACTTCTCTAAAATGTAAAAAAGCTCTTTGCTGTTGCATTGTACACATACTATAAATATCTGAATTTTATTTTATTTTTTTAGCATTTATTTCTTTCATATGTGCTTATATGGGCTTCTTATATCATTTGGTTCTTTGGTGTCCTTTTGGAGTTTCTAAGTGTCCTTTTTTGAAATGGCGTCTAAATTTATCTTGAAAAAAGCTTGCAGAAAATAGAGATTTTTGAGAATCACCCTTCAATCTTTTGGTTTACTTTGCTGGATATAGCAAATAATGACAAAATAAACATTTGAAACAAGTCAAATGATCTGTGCTTAATTTCATGAAGTGTGTGATTAATTGCCATAAATCACAGAAAAAGAGTGATTAATTTGATAAAAAAATGTTTTATCTACTGACAGCCCTAATATATATATATATATATATATATATACACACACACACACACGCATGCATACATACATATATATATATACATACATATATACTAGAGATGCACCGATTGCAATTTTCTTGGCCAATTCCGATTTCCGATTTTTTGGATGTGTGACCTGCCGATACCGATCTTTGCCGATTCCGATTTTCTTTCTAAGAACTATAATTGACAGCATATACAAACAAAAATCTATGCAAATTTCAATGCAAAAATTATTTACATAATAAAAAGAAATTATTAAACATTACAATTCCCTCCACTCTGGACTAAGTTACAGATTTTCTCTCACTTAAACAACTCTCAAAATAAAGTGCTCTGTGACTGGAAAGAGGAAGAAATTAGAGGGTTATATGGGTTTTTTGGGGCCAATACCAATATTAGGGCGTAAAAAAAGGCTGATACCGATATATCGGCCGATATTCATTGTGTATATTATAGTACAGTACCAGTCAAAAGTTTGGACACTTTCTCATTCGTGTGTCCAAACATTTGACTGGTACTATATATAGAATACAGTATATACATAAACAGAATATATATACATAAACACATTTTTTGCAATGATCACTCAAATGTGGTGATCAAACACTTATAATGGTGACAGAGATATGTAAGGACATTTAACAATTTAACAATAAACTTGTGACGAGTGCGATGCACAAAGTAACGGGGTGTTAGTTGTAACACACGTGGTTTGAATATTTATTTTACCATAGTAACATTTAAATTCTGGCTTAAGTAAATTTTTTTATCTCAGTTTTTATTATTCATTTAAAATGAGACAAATCTGCTATTATTTTAATCTCCAA